ATGAATTTACAACCTCAAGATCGTCCTGATATAATCTCAGGGGTTTTTAAAATGAAGTTTGACGAATTACTGTATGATATAACAAAGAAGCATGTCTTGGGCAGAGTTGTTGCATGTGAGCCACATGAAATTAAATATGTAATACTTAATTCTTCCCTATTCTATACCAATGATTTTAAATTAATGTTTTACTGTATTTTAATTTCTTCCAGATATATACACCATTGAGTTCCAAAAGAGAGGTTTTCCCCATGCACACATTTTACTTTTCATGCATCACCAGAACAAGTTTCCCACTCCGGATGACATCAACAACATTATTTCAGCAGAAATACCGGCAGAAATGGATGATAAACAATTAAATCATTTGGTAAAGACACATATGATTCATGGTCCATGTGGGTTGGCTAACAGATCTTCCCCTTGCATGAAAAATGGTAAATGCTCTAAATTCTTTCCCAAAAATTGGCAGCCTCAAACCATTGTCGATCAAGATGGCTATCCCGTCTATAGGAGAAGGGATACTGGCATTACTGTTCTGAAAAAAAGTATTGTTCTTGATAATAGGTATGTAGTTCCTTATAATGCATATATTCTAAAGAAATATCAGGCGCACATTAATATGGAATGGTGTAACCAAGGTACTTCTGTCAAGTACTTATTCAAGTATATTAACAAAGGTTACGATAGAATAACTGCAGCGGTTGTTCGGACCGAATTAGACGGAAGTTCATTTGGTACAGATGTTGATGAAATCAAACAGTACCTTGATTGCAGGTACGTTTCCCCGAGTGAGGCCTGTTGGAGGATTTTTTCATATCCTATCCATGGTAGATCTCCTTCTGTCGAAAGGTTGTATTTTCATCTGGAAGGCGAAAATCCGGTTTACTACACTGACTATGATTTCATAGACAATGTTCTTGAAAAACCAACTGTAAAGGAATCAATGTTTACAGCTTGGATGGATTCAAACAAAAAATACGAAGATGCAAAGACTTTAACATACACTGCGTTTCTTTCCAAGTTCGTTTACGATAAAAGGTACCGTTTATGGAGACCTCGAAAAAGAGGTCGTACGATTGGCCGGTTAATTTGGGTTCCTCCAAGCACTGGTGAGCTCTATTACCTTAGAATGATGTTGACGGTTGTCAAGGGACCGACTTGCTATGACGATATAAAAAAGGTTGGTGGAGTAGTCCGCGACAGTTTTAGAGATGCATGCTTTGAGATGGGATTTCTTAACGACGACAAAGAATATGTTGCAGCCATAAATGAGGCCAAAGATTGGGGTTCCGGTAATTTTTTGAGGAAGCTATTTGTCACGATGTTGTTGTCTGGTACTGTTAATCGACCGCGACATGTTTGGCAACAGACTTGGAAGTTGCTATCTGACGGTATTCTTCATCAACAGAGAATTGTCACTGGAATAAGAGGTACACTTAACAAATACCTAAATACTTCTGTTAAATTTCATACAATTACAAACCGTACGAAACTATTATAATGAGTTTTTCTTCTTATAATACCTTTTAAACTACTTTGGATGCAATAATTTGAATCCTTTTATACTTCCATATATCTGTTACATATCATACAGTTCAAACCATACTTAAGTCTTTTGACAGGTTCTCATTGTCGTAATGTAATTTCAACTCATGTAGATAGGGTCTTAACTTAAGAATTTCAATTGTTACCAAACTGGTTCTGCCATAAAATTTTTCGACAGTTCTGCCCATACACAGACTTTCCTGTTCTTATGCCATAATGCTTCACATCATTTCCATTCAACAGCACCTTTCAATGCTGCCCTTTCAAAGAATCATAAGTTCCAGTAAGCAAGTCCTTTCAATGCTGCTATTTCATCAGTAATAAAAATATCTAATGCAATATGATATTACTCACCACCAACACAGAACAGAATAATTCTGTGATTTATCTTTTACCTTCAACCACCTTTTGTCACAGCTACTGATCAAAAACATAACATTTTTAATGAACCCGAATGTCTGATGCTCTTGCATTATACTGAAATTTTCCGTGATACTGCCATTTTAAGGTTAACGATCCTTTTGCATGTCTATCTTCATCAACACTGTGATTTCTATTGTACATAATAGTTATATTTTATTTTGGTTTGTATTTGTGTTGGAAGACATGCAATTGTCAACTGCAGAACTGACAAACCTCACATTAATTGAGATTGAGAATATGATGCAATCAAATAGAAGAAGCTTGCGTGAATTCAAAGATATGCCGTTTCCAGATTTGTATATAACGCGACATGTCGGCAATAGACTGATTTTTGATGAACGTGATTACGATGCTGATTTAGAGCGACAAAACTTCCAGAATCTATTTACATCTCTAACAGGTATTTCCTCATTATTCAAATCATCGATGTTTTCATTAAACTACTGTTGTATTGATTCTTTTCATTTGAACGTCAAGATGAGCAACGTGCAATCTTTGAAACCATAATGGACGCCGTCAAGAAACAAAACGGAGGGGTGTTTTTTTTACATGGATACGGCGGAACCGGTAAAACGTTTATGTGGAGGACATTATCAAGTGCACATCGTTCAGATAAAAAAATTGTTCTAGCTGTTGCTTCAAGTGGCATAGCTTCCTTATTATTGCCAGGTGGTAGAACAACCCATTCGAAGTTCAAAATTCCCATTCCAACGCTTGACAACTCTACTTGCAATGTTGACAAAGACTCTGAGCATTCACAGTTATTCGAAGCTACTGATGTCATAATATGGGACGAAGCACCCATGGCTCATAAGAATTGTTTTGAGGCCTTGGATAAGACCCTTAAGGATGTCATGAGCGATAAGGGTTTTGCAAATACAATTTTTGGTGGCAAGGTAGTTATATTTGGAGGAGATTTTCGACAGATACTTCCAGTTGTTCCAAGAGCAGGCCGTTCTGATATTGTTCATGCTTCCATTTGTTCTTCTTATGTGTGGGACTATTGCCAAGTCTTAACACTAACCAAAAACATGAGACTAAAGAATGGGAGGGACGGTACAACTTCTGATGAACTTGCAGAATTCTCTAAATGGGTATTAAATGTTGGCGACGGTAAAATATGTGAACCTAACGATGGATTAGCTGATATAGAAATTCCTCCAGATTTGTTAATTTCCAATTTTGAGGATCCAATAAGAGCTATAGTTGAAAGCACATGCCCAAATTTGCTTGCCGACTTTCAAAATGTAGAATTTCTACAAGGAAAAGCAATACTTGCTTCAACCATTGAAGTTGTTGATAAAATTAATCATTACGTGTTAGACATGATACCGGGTAAACTATTTTTTCTTTTGATGTTTATTTTCGTGTATATATTTCGTTATTAAATTATTCTTGAAAAAACATTATGGATTGATTCGCGTTTTCCCATTTCTTAGGTGAGGACAAAGAGTATTTGAGTTTTGATTCGATTGATAGAACTGATTCAAGTTACACCGAAGTCTATGAATGTCTTACTCCAGAATTTCTTAGCAAGCTTAGGACTTCAGGTGTCCCAAATCACAAACTCAGATTAAAGGTTGGTACATCAATAATGCTTATGAGGAATTTGGACCAAAACGATGGTTTGTGTAACGGAACTAGACTAATTGTTACAAGGTTGGCAAATCACGTTATTGAGGCAAAGATCATGTCTGGTAAGAATGTTGGTAACATCTTTTACATCCCTCGAATGTCTATGTCACCTTCCGAGTCACCGTGGCCATTTAAGTTGATTAGGAGACAGTTCCTAATTATTGTGTCGTACGCAATGACAATTAATAAGTCTCAAGGCCAATCACTTGATACAGTTGGATTGTATTTGCCTACTCCTGTATTCAGTCATGGCCAGTTGTATGTAGCCATTTCAAGAGTTACAAGCAAAAGTGGTCTAAAGATCTTAATACATGATAGTATGAATGTATCAACATTTATCACTACAAATGTTGTATACAAAGAAGTTTTCCAATCTCTTTGTTGATCGGTAAGTACATAATAACAAATATTTTCTTTAATATAAATTGTTTCCGTAAATGCTGTCTAATTTTTGCATAATTTATTGTGCAGGTCAAAAAGTTGAAAACATCGTTTCCAAGCTGGTTGCGTTGTATCTGAAGACTCGTGATAATTTCTTATTTTGAAGAGTCATCACAGTTTCTTATTTTGTTACACAATCATGATTTCAGTTTACATTTTTTAATGTTGTCAAATAAGTTTGATACACTAAATTTGGCCGAATTAGATGAACTTTTATTGAATTACATAAAAATGAATTTACTGTTACATGACAACATTAGTTCCACGTTTTATGAATTCTCGACCGGCCCCGTGCGACAACACGGGTTATCGACTAGTTTATAAATTAACACCTTTAAAAAATACTACTTATTCACCTCAACTTTCACTAGAGTGTCTAAATTCATTGCTTTTTTTGTTTCAAATATTCACTCACATATACTTGATAATAGAAGGAAAGGACAATGAATTTAGTTTAAAACTTTATTTAGGAAATTAAGTATAAAACAAACAAAAAAAACATTTTATTTGTATTTTTGAGTGAAAAAAAATATTTTTTTGACTGAAGAAAAAAAAACATTAAAATAGAAAAAGTATGTAATGTATTATCGTTGCTGACTCAGCACAAAAAGCCCAATTATATAGGGTAAGAGTTATTTTCTTCTTCAGAGTCTCATCTTTAAAGCACTCGGGTTATCAAATCTTTCTTTTAGGTCAAATTTTTTTCTTTTCTCTAAAATATAAATATTTAATTTTAATTATCAATTGATTCTCCATAAGAATGTTTTTCTCCATTTTCTTTTCTTTCTCCCTTTTGTTGTTGTTGTTTTTTAGGAACAACGATCAGAAATTTATATTTTAATTTTGATTTTGAGTTTTGTAATTACTTTAGTTTATTCATTTGATTAAAATTGTTTTTGTTTGATTTCTTAGATTTTTTGAGATTTGATTTTGTATTGTTTTTGGTGAAGAAAATGAAAAACGCTAAACAACAGGTAAATGAAAAATTGGGTGTGAACAAAATGGGAAAGAATAAGATAAATTATGTTGAGTCACAGTCACCTATCACTCCTTACAGGAGAAATTTTCAGGAATCAATGATGAACTATCATGTTTCAAGAGGTAATCAACAACAATCTTACCCTCTTGAAACACAAGTAGTCAACAATGTGAATGCTTAATAATGTTGAACCTTATCCAGCTTCATATGCTTTGCGTCCTAATCTTGTTGAGTCACTCATTTCCGCTTTCATGAGAAGATTTCAGTTGTTTGATTATGGTACTTCGAGGGATAACTAATTACAACCTCAATCACAACCTTACCTTCAACAATGTTTTTAATATCAAAGTAGCAAAATAATCAATGGGATGTACATCAATGTGTCTATTTGTAGTTGATATATAAAATCAATATTATAAAATGTAATACTTATATAATACTTTTTAGAAAAATTTATTAATTTATAAATATCAATAAATTATTTACATTAATATATAAATCTAAATAAATATTATTAGTAGAGATTAAATCATAAATTAATAATTTACACTTATTTACCTCAACTATATGGATTAGTTGAAGAATTTTTTTTTGGAATAACTAGGTATTAAAAAACATTTCGTAAATAACCATGTTTCGGAGAAAATTACGCAAATAACCATGTTTCAGAAAACCCCATAAGGGAGGAGCCAACCCAGTTGGCGCATGCACCTTATTTTAAAGGGGAGGCGTCATCTCACTTGGCGCCTATGTGTAAAAGGCTTGCTCTAAACCAAGTAAGATGGCGCCTTAGTGTAAAAGGCATATAATTTTTCGCATTTTTTATTTTAAATGCGGTACGTTACCTAAACGATATAGGATCAAGAAAATTGAATTTTTATTTACACAATATGATTACACACATAACGATTACATAAAAAATACAGATTAATCAGTGGTCCCCCGGAACCCGGTAATGACCCCCAGTTCCACATCCCCGTCCTCGCCTTTCCCGTGCTGGGTTTAGTCGTGTTTCCTGTTGTGGCAGGGTCGATGGCCCAGCGAAGTCAATGCATTCCGGATCCATGAAATCGGTAAGATCTCCATATCTAGAAGATCCGCTTTGGTACAGTCGGTTGCCCATACCCTCAAAGTTTGGTCGTGTTGGTGGTGGGTGAGGTTTCATGGTTGGTCTGTAGCACTGGTCGTCTGAGTACGGGGGGTAGAAAGGAAATGGATCTTGGGGTGTTTGGTATTGGGAATGTTGGGTGCTTTGGTGATGTTGTGATTGATGGTAAGTTTGGTTGGTTGGTTCATAATCTTCGGACAATCCCAGATCAGGGCTAAGGTTAGATGTTGAGGGGCCCATATTGAGATATGTAGAAGACTGGAATTGTGTGTGGGGTATGCGGGTGTATTGGTATTGTGATTGAAATTGTGGTTGGGTGTGAGGCATATGGGGGTATTGGTACTGAGGTTGTGATTGTGGTTGGTTGTGGGGCATGTTGGTGTAATCGTATTATGGTGGTGACTGTGGTTGAGTGTTTGTGGTTCTGTTTCATCGGGGGGGGTTGGTGGGAGGTTGATGTGTGTTGGGTTTGTTGTTGGGGAAATGAGGGTTGTTCCCATTGCATTCGTGGGTCAACCAAATACTTTGGATAAGACACGTGCATTTTTGGGGTACTAACCTATCTGTACACAGATAAATACTGATCCGTGTGTCGCATATTACCATGGTTGAAGAAAACTGGGAATTGCAAGACATGTCGGTGACACCTCTGCCACATCTTACACCATTCTGGAGCAAAATCTTTCCAGTTGGTAAGACCCCACTAGGCGTCGACCCTTTTGAGATGCCACGGGGACAAACAAGTCGGATCGTAGGGTATCTCTTGATGCATTCCAAACTGCATCTTGACACGGTCGCTGTGGTGCATCTCCATAATATTGAACCGTATGATTGCAGTCTTTGCGCTCCAAATTGTTGCATCCTCGGAGTTTGGTTCATGGTCCAAACCCAAATATGGTCTCCAGACAAACTGCGGATAAAATTAAATCAGCTTAATGAAAACGTAATAAATAAATAATTTAAAAGTAGAAAAGTTGAAAGGTATGACGTACATCATCCGGGCCAAGGTGATCCAATAGATTGCGGTATAGAGCGACATTGAATCTTGGATTCTTGCCGTAATCCATATCCCTCACGCAGTACCTAAAGGAATTGAAAAATATTTTATTTTTATCATATATTTGGTGAAGAGATGAATAGTAATAAATGATATAAGTTGATGACTTTCTTTATTGTGTATGGTAAAACGAATGTGTTGTTGTTGACGGGGTTTAGGGACTTCATTCTCCACCAACCCCAGGCTTGAAGTAAAAAAGCGCAGCCATAAAATGTACATTTTTCCTTGATTACATTTTTACACATGGAACTGTATAAATGGGCTAAAACAGCAGAACCCCGACTATACTTTCTAGTTTTTTCGAAGTCTCTAAGTAAATTTAAATACATAAAATTTACACTATTTACCGTACTTTCGGGAAATAAAAAGGTTCCAAATAGTATCATTATATAATTTCTAGCTTTTATTACCTTAGCTAGCTCAGAGGAATTTTCGTTCAATTCTAGAGTCGCATAATGATTTTTTATCTCAGTAAGTAGTATACCCCGACCTCTCGCACCACCACCTTCAACCATATCACTGCCCAACAATTCTTCAAACAGAGAATTGCGTTGTTGAACTGACCCGTTAACCGCCTTACCGTCGACAGGGAGACCCAATAACATGTACACGTCCTCTAGTATGACGGTACATTCACCTATTGGTAGATGAAATGTATGGGTATCTGGTCTCCACCTTTCCAACATTACAGGTATGAACTTTGAATCAATCATGCAGTTGGAGATCTTTATAACGTTTCTGAAACCTGCGTATTCGAGATAGGGTACGATCAACGGGTTGGGAGCAAGGTAGTTGTGTGACCGGATTCTGAATCTTTTAGTATCCTAAGTTAAGAATGTAAAAAGTGTAAGAGTAGGTAAGATTATAAAGCATTAATATAAGTATGAAAAATGTATAAGTATACAAGAAACTTACAAACGCTGCAATATTATCCCTTGTGCCTCTGTGAGAATCTCCCATTGTGAGAAGAGCCATTGTTGAAATTGTCTGAGAATATGAAAGAGTTTGAAATTATATGAGATTATGAAAGAGTTTGTAGCAGAGAGTGAGACGATTGTGGATTCAATAGAAGTATGTAAGGCTCTGTCTTTATAGGCAAAATTTTATCACAGAGTAAGTGAGGTGGTAGGTGGGTGCATGCATGCATGATAAATCTCACTCTTGCAGTGTAGGTGTAGGCTTCGTAGTAGCTTTAGGGAAGACATCTCTGCATGCATGTAACATGATTGGACGTGAAGGGAGGCGCCATTGGACTTGGAGAAAGAGTACAAAAATGAAAGGTGCCGCCATCCCTGTTAGCGAATAAGAGGTGGCGTGGGTTACAGTGTAGGTACAGGCTAGGTCACAGCCTTGGAGAAGAAATCTCTGCATGCATGTAACACGATTGGACGTGAAGGGAGGCGCCATTGGACATGGCGAAAGAGTACAAAAATGAAAGGTGTCGCCATCCCTGTTGACGAATAAGAGGTGGCATGGGTTGCAGTGTAGGTGCAGGTTAGGTGACAACCTTGGAGAAGGCATCTCTGCATGCATGTAACAAGATTGGACGTGAAGGGAGGCGCCATTGGACTTGGCGAAAGAGTACAAAAATGAAAGGTGTTACCATCCCTGTTGGCGAATAAGAGGTGGCATGGGTTGCAGTGTAGGTGCAGGCTAGGTGAGAGCCTTGGAGAAGGCATCTCTGCATACATGTAACACGATTGGACGTGAAGGGAGGTGCCATTGGACTTGGCGAAAGAGTACAAAAATGAAAGGTGTCGCCATCCCTGTTGGCAAATAAGAGGTGGCATGGGTTGCAGTGTAGGTGCAGGCTAGGTGGCAGCCTTGGAGAAGGCATCTCTCCATGCATGTAACACGATTGGACGTGAAGGGAGGCGAATTAGAGGTTGCTTACTGTTGGTTTATTCAAATTCAGTACAACCTATTTAATCTTACATTTATCAAAACACTCCTACACTTAATTACTCAAACACTAGAACATTCAAAAATTCAAGCAATTAACTCAAATACTTCAAACCTTCAAACCTTCAAACAGTCATACACAATGGCCTCTGCACCCCAATATGTGATCAATACATATTTCAACGGTGAGACATACATTTGTCCCACCTCTGGGTTTTTATTTAGAGACGCTGAGAACATCCGATTTGTTGGTGTAAGCCCTAGAGGCTAATACTTTTGGTACTTGTATCGAATTATTTATTAATAATAAAAGGCATTTCTTTATTATGTTTGCTTTCCAAAATAATAAAGTCCCTAGAATGGTTTATTGGTTTAATGAAATGTTAAGTGTGACTTAATCATGAGATCCCATTAAACATAAGAAACTATTCTTAAAGTATCTGTAGTCAAGCTTTAATGTGAAGTGGGATAACATTAAAGCATTAAGATTATTATGAAGATAGATTGATGATCACATCTCATGGATCATAGATAAGGAGTTATCAAGTCTTGACATAGGTATGAATATTAGGAGTAATATTTATACTGGATTGACCCGCTATGAGAATACTACATAGAATGTTATGCAAAGTGTCATAAGTTATTCTCATGATGATAATGGTGTATACCACCCTTCGACCTGAAACCACAATGGACCCTAGATGTAGAGTCAAGTACTTTATTGCTGATCAAACGTCATCCGTAACTGGATGACTGTAAAGACGGTTGATGGGTACTTCACAAAGCATGCTAAGGGACATGAGTGACCTAGATGGAATTTGCTCATCCTGCATAACAGGATAAATGTCTAAGGGCCCAATATTGAACTGGACAAGGGTGACACAGTGTATGCCTTGTGTTCAATATAGACATGAGGGCAAAAGGGTAATTGTACAACACAAATATTATCACGGAAAAGGTTTGGTCAGATCACATGACATTTTCGTGACTTGGGTAACAATGATGTGTTGCTAGATACCGCTCACTGTTTATTATATTAAATGTGTGATTTAATATAATTGCCAACGTCGCGAAAACCTACAGGGTCACACACATAAGGACAGGTTGATGAGAGATATAATAAATAAGGAACACCGTAAGGTACGGTGCACTTAAGTGTAATACGGAAAGTGGTAAGGTACCACGTGGATAAGTGATATATGGTACATCATAAGGTATGATGTCCATAAGCT